CGTCGTCAAGTCGACAGCGATGATTCGTCCAGTGACGATGACATTTTGGTGCGTACATTCGACGAGGAAGATCCTCAAGTCGAGTTGATGCGTCAGATGAATGAGCTTGCGACGCTGAACGACGTGGACCCGACACCGAGGATTGAAATGGCATCGCACCGTCCATTGAATCGCATCACGCCGTTTTCAGGCTCTCGCAACAAGAGCGAGAACTGTATGCAGTGGCTTCGTGGGTTCGTCTATGAAATGACTGGAGCCCACACAGATGCCGACAAATAGTGCATTCCATTTGAGCTAAGTCTCCGGGGCGGAGCCATTCATTGATTCCGTCAACTTCCGAAGAAGACGAAGCGCAAGTGGAAGCTGTTGAGCGACGCGCTCATCCGCTACTACTGCTCGCAGTTCACGCAGACGGCACTGTCACGTTACTACTCGGCCAAGCGGGAACGTAACGAACATCTGTGCGACTACATAAACAGGCTTAATGGCTACGCTCGGACCGCCCGTCTACACTTCGAGAAGAGTGGTCGCGACGCGAAAGAACACGTACAGCAGTTCCTGGCAGCATGCGAAGATGACAAGCTGGCGGAGAGTCTCTACCACGTTTGAGTCGCCGACATTCACGAGCTCGAAGAGATCATCGAGGATGTAATCAAGGGCAAGGAGAGAATGGCCAAGCGTGACAGTGAGTACCGATACTCCAAGAGTCGTGACGCGCGACGCGACGATGGATACGCCCGCAACAATCGACGTGATGACCGTCGCCGCGATGACAACCGCAACAAACCAAGAGTGACGCTCATTGAAGCCACAATGGATGACCTACTAGCTGAATTAGAAGGTCGTGAAGCTGCTCAAGGAGGCACCGAGTATTCAAACGAAGATCCGAACGCTTACAACGATGTCCAAGACGAGTACAACGGCTTTCAGCCCGATAATACCGATGGTGATTTCTCATTGGATGATAATGACCGATACCTCGTCGCTGCTAACGAAAACGAGCGCCGTGCAGCTGCTGAAGGCACCTACGCACGTTCAGACAACCGTCAACCGCGTGGAAACACGCCTGATCGCGAGAATGACTTCAATCAAGATCGCCGAGGTGGTGACCGTGGGTTCAATCAGAACCAACGCGGTCGACGTGACTTCAACCGCGACAACCGACGCCCACAGTACGGACCATGCGCGGTGTGTGGTGGCATGAGTCACTCCGCCCACTACTGTAACAAGCGAT